ACTGCCCCATAGGATTTCCAAGGAGCAGCTGATAGATTCAAACTGCCAACCTTTTTGTTAGCAGCCAAGCTCTTAACCACTGCACCACCAGGGCTCCCACAGACATAGGGGTTAGGATTTACAACACATATTTTTTTGGGACCCACTTCAATCCGTAACAGTGTTCTAGCTAATTAGGGTCAGTTAGATCACCTACTAGACACTGCTACTTATAGCAGCACTTCCGCTCCATACATCTGGCACATGGACTACACATCTTAAATTAAAAAGACCTTTTTTTAAATATTGTTGAGTAAGTGCATGTACGTCACAATGATTTTCAACCTTAATCAATACGTAAGGGAAATAAAAGAAAGTCCAGCTGTAGTGGAAGGGGACTGAGAATAAAGGAGCATGCCTCTTGCCTATGATATACCTATGATATGCCCCAGACCTGTCTGAAGCAAGTTTTGATGCTTAATCAGTTTTTGTGACTAATCCATGAGTGCATGAAAAGAAGACACATTCTTCCTGGGATAAGGGCTGAAGATTATATTTCATAGACTCATGGAACCACTATCTGTTTTCCTCACAATGTCTTTGCTCTATTTGTATGTTCTACTCATCATCATTTATCTCTTATCCTAAGCCTGATCTCAGATGTTGAACCAGAGGTTGTCAGTTGTCACCAATATGTTATCCCCATTTTCTTTAGAATTAGAACCATTGATTTTTGGCTGGAAACATGGCCACCCAATAGAGAGTACATGATTCAATAACCCTTGCAGCTAAGTTCTGACCAACAGGAAGTAAGTGCAGTGATGTGTAAAACTTTTGCAAGTAACCTTAAATAGAGGCGTATGTCCCTTTCTGCCTCATTTTCAGGGCTGGAATGAGTAGTTGTCACTGTTATCTGTTTACCCCTTATTCTTTAGAACCATTGATTTTTGGCTGGAAACATGACCACCCAATAGAGACGACATGAATTCAACATCCCTTGCAGCTAAGTTCTGACCAACAGGAAGTAAGTGCAGTGATAAGTAAAACTTTTGCAAGTATCCTTAAATAGAGGAGTATGTCCCTTTCTGCCTCCTTTTGGGGGCTGGAATAAGAATGTGGTGGTTAGAATATGAGCAGCCATCATGGGCTATAAGGTAGAAGCCCATGTTCAGGATGGTGAAGCACATGATGGCAGCCTGTGTACTTGCTGATCATAGAGCCATGAAACCAATCCTGGATTGCCTATACTATTTGAGAGGAATAAACTTCATTTTTGTTTACCAAGACCAAACCCATTGCCGTCGATTCCAACTCATAGCAACCCTGGAGGACAGAGCAGAACTACCCCATAGGTAGTGGCTGGTAGGTTTGAACTGCCGATCTTTAGGTTAGCAGCTGAGTGCTTAACCACTGTTATTTCGAGTTTTCAATAATGTATCCTGATACGGATGCCAATTCCTCCATGAAAATGTATTGTTTAGAATAATTGTCTAGTGGCCCGTAACAGGAATTCATTAAAAAGTATTTTAAGCAAAAATGGGGAATTATTTAAGGACACAAGGATGCACAGAACCATAGGCAGGGATGTAATTAAACCTCAGGAATAGACCAGAACCTGGAACTGAAACACTGTAGGGAAGCCAGGAAGTCTTACTGTGTCTCATCTCTCCTCCTCTTCCCTCTTACTGCAGATTATTTATGTGCCTGGCATAGAGAAGCAATAAATATTTGTTTAAATGGATGGCAATTGGTATGTGTGTGTATGAGAAACTAGCTCTGAAGCCAATTCCCAAAACATTTCCTTATACACATGTAGCTGGTGCAAACAGTTTGTGCTCGTCAACTAATCCAAAGGTTAGCAGTTCCAACCCTCCAGACACTTGGCAGGAGAAAAGACCTGGCAATCTGCTCCTATGAAGATTTCAGCCTAGGAAACCCTATGGGGCAGTTCTACTCTGTCCTATAGGGTCGCTATGAGCCGGAATCGACTCCATGGCACACAACAACATAACTTTTGGAGTCTAAGCTCTTCTGTTAATTCTTTCTTTCAGTCCTTTGATTTTGTCAGTTGCTTATTCCAAAATCAGAAAAGGAGGCTGAGATGTAGAGTTGTCCATGATTGATTTAATGTAAGACACTTTAGAAATGGCTCTGCTTTTGTGTAAGAATTACAGAAGCAAGTTTTTATAGGAATCCAAGCACTGGCCCACAAGTAACTATTTTGTTAGACAAGGAAATGATAGATTTTTGTTTTGTTTTGTACATTCTCCCCTGTAATCAGTTTTATTTCTTTTTCTTTTTTTTTTTTCATTTTCTCATTGTTATCACTTACTGAGTTCTTGTTTTCATCTAGTTTTTGTCTTTGAGTGTTTATGTTCTTGTTGGCTCACTGATATATTTGATATTTTATATATTTTATCCAGCACTTTGAGTTGCTTTTGGTGGGAGAATCAGACAGAGTGTCTAGTCTGCCATACTGCTGGACACAGGAGTCCAATCTGATTTTTAAAGAGTTTTAAGTTCATTTGTTTGTAAAGTATTACCCAGCATTTTGAAGACTAGGGCCCTAATTCTGGAGGTCTAAGCTCCCATCTGTAAAGATGAAGAATAACTCTGTCTAGCTACACGAAAATGTTTTTTTGTAAGAGACGTATGAGATAACTAACGTGAAGTCAGTTTGAAACTGGAAAGTACCATGCAAATATATATTTTCTTAACTTTGAAAACAAAACAGAGGCAAAAAGCAATAAAAAGTTATAACTAAGGGTAACAATGATTTGTTCAATTTTAAAGTTCTAAATCTTTGCACTCATATCGTTTGTTTTCTGGCCCCAGGTATGGATGGGAAAGTATTATGATTCTTAAAAATCAGTATTATTTTATATGCTGTATTTAATATTGTATAATTTACTTTTTAATGAGAGGGAAAGAAAGCACACTACAAAATCTACCACTATGTTTTCAAAGCCTGTGTAGTGGCTGTCCCTCTAATATATGGGTAGGCAATCTAACATAGAATGTTTACAACTCTTTATACATTGTGTAAGCTGAGTTTCTGAGTGCCTTACATTCTGTAATGTTATCTTGGTTTCTGTATTCCAAGGATACTGAAGTGTTATTACAAGAACTACTCACATTGCTCTTCTCAGTCTCAAACTGTAATAACAAGTATGTGAGAGGAAACACCTCCCAGAACATTCCAAACAGCCACGTGGATTGTAGGTAATTTGTAATTGAACCAACACAGGATGCAGCCATGTAGTTATTACTATTTCCTGTAGACTCAGGATGTCTTAGGTCCTATGTAAAACATATCACAGGGCCTGTCTTCTAAACATTTATATACCAACCCAGTGTACCCTAAATGTATGTCATTCACTCACACTGCATTTACTGAGCCAGTCTACTACCTGTCAGGCCTTCTGCCTATTCTCAGAAAGCTCATAGTCTAATCAACCCACTGCCATGGACAAGAGTCCCACTCAGAGACCCTGTAGAACAGAGTACAACTGCCCCATAGGGTTTCTTGAGGGAAACAGACTGCCACACTTTCTGATGAGGAGCACCTGGTGGGTTCCACCACTGCCCAGTTTTCGGTTAGCAGCCAAGCGCTTAATCACTGCGCCACCAGGGCTCTTTATGAGTCATGTACTAAGCTTTAAATCATTTACTTTACAACCGCCCAGTGAGGTGGGTACTCTTATCCCTATTTTTCTGATGACAAAATCAGGGTTTATAGAAATTAGCTTGCCCAAGGTCACGCAGCTAGTAGAGGATTCAAACCCAGCAATTCTTATTCCAATAGCCATACACAGAATCTACTATTTTTTACTGCCTCTAAGAGATGTGATCAATATATAGAAAGATGGTCCTATTCAATAAGTATACCGAGTAAACTGCATTTATCTCTTTACTGAACATGGAAACATATGTGGTGACAGATCTTTTCGGGAGACTGGTTCTGTCTTTTCACTTTTGCTACCTGGAGGACCTAAAATGTGTAGAAGTTTGATAAAACAGGTGACATAAAAGTTGAGACACGGCAGGTACAACAGAAACGACATTCTCGAATGCTTCAGCAGTTGCTGGAATAATGGGATCTGGGTTCTATCAGAGAACCCTCCTCTCCCTCCTATGCACACGCTATAAGGTATATATGGGCGCCATTCGGTTCAGGTTGGTTCTAGCGGTCCTCAACTCACAGCGAAGGTTCTTTTTCCGACTCCTGGCGACTCCAATCCCCTGGAAGTTAACCCAAGGCGGCTTCTCAGCGGGATACAGCGCTCTGCGCCGACTGGCGTAGGTTCTAAGGAAACCGCCCGCGGAAGCACCTTGGGCACAGGCGGCAACTGCGACGAGCCCCGCCTAGCGCCAGGGGGCGCGGAAGCGCGTCGGTCGCCCGGCCCCACGCCGGCCCCGCCCTGTTCCACCCCGCCCCCAGCCCCGCCTTCCCTCCGCTGGGACCGGCCGCTCCCGGCTTCGCTCCGGGCGCAGGCGCAGTCTCGCGTTCTCGCGCCGATTCACAGTGCAGTGCGGCCGCCAAGCCGGAGAGTTGTGGAGTCAGTCTGCTGTTCTCCTCCGCCTTTTGCTTCTTCGGAGCGCGTTCTTTGCGGCTCTGCGAGCGTCCCTGAGCGCGGGCAGCGGCCGCAGTGGGTTCGTCAGGTGAGTGCGGCCTCCGGAGGAAGAGGCCTGGAGCGCGGGCGTCGGAGCACCGCCCCCCTCAGCGCCCGCGCGCCCGCCTCCCGCGAGTGGGCCGGGAGGGGCGGCAGGGCAGGTGCAGGTGCCAGCGCGGCGCAGGAACCCGGCTGCCTTGCCAGCCGCCCGGCGCTCTTCCTCACCTTGGCGGGGGTCTCCGAAGCCCTCGCGGCGATGCGGGGCTGGGTGCCCCCGGGACCGCTGGTGGGCGTCGGGCGGTGTCGGCCCGCCCCCAGCGCCTCGCAGCCGCCGCCGGCGTCCCCCGGTAGCCGGCGCGTTACTCATTAACTGCGAGGTCCCGGGCACCCGAGGCGGTGAACCCGCAGCCCAGTTACCTGTCGGCGGGCATGTGCGGCCCAGAGCTGTGGACGCGGGGTCACTGGGGTGGGCGGGAGATTGTAAAGAGAGTTTCGGAACAAGTCAGAAGCACATCACAGCCCGGGATTCCGTGCGGAAGCTGCTGCGGAATGAAGCGGTAGCGGTGGACCGGCGCTTTTTCATTCATGAGTCTTAGTAAATGACGAGCAAGGCAAGATGCGGAGGCTGGGAGGTCACAGCGGGAGGTTTCGGTGAAACCTGGTTGGGAAAGAGCGAGCGCCGGGAGTCGCGCCCGCGGAGGCAGCTCAGTTTAGCCCGACTTTTGTTTCGGGTAGTTGAGAGGAGCTGCACAGACGTAATTGCACTGTCCTTCCGGCGTTGACAATTCGCCCCGACCGCCTAGGGAAAAGCGAGCTTAATGGACTCCAGGAGTGATGCTAGGTGGAGTCTGCAGCACGTGAAAAGTTGCCAGTTTTTATGGTATTAAAAGACAAACAACCCCCCCAAAAAACAACCAGAAGTCATGCTAAAAAGATAAGGTCTTAAAATTAAGAGCGCTGAGTTGATTCCTGAGAGGCAGACAATTAGGTTTCGTGGAAATGTAGCATCTACCGAGGCTACCTGTTTCACACTTTTCGGTTTCCCGCCCCGCCCCCCCAGCTGCTTGTCAGTGTTAGGAAAGAACCATGTAATCTTTGCTGTGGAATGATTACATAATTGGAGGAGAGGCCGATACGAGGATTAAAACTGTTCTATTGTAAATGTTTTGAAAAACCCAGTTTCTGTTCATTATCCTCATTCTTACTTTGTTCTTGCAGTTGTGTTTTTGTTTTTTAAATAGTGAATGACAAGGAGAAAAGAGGCAGAATAGATTTGGAGACCAATCATAGTAAGTAGTTGATACCGTTCAATATTTCACCAGTTTTATGGGGCCTTGTTCTAGTAACGTTTGTTATTTAATTACTAGTACGGTGCATTTTGATAGGGACTTTTAATATTTGGACAACTATTGTATTCTCAGTATAACGGTTTATGTGATCTAACTTTAAAGCCCTTGTGGAATTTATAGAAAAAATTCAGCGGTTATACAGTTTTACTACAATAGTGTATTTCTTACTATTAGAAGAAAGGTCTTTTTAATCTTTTTTTTCCGTTACAGTAGTGTTATATGTTAGTGTGTACCTTTGTGAGACAAAGCGGATACATTTATTAAAACACTTCCTTGTGTGTTTGGCAAACAACTCATCTGTGTATTGAATAGCTCTAATCTTTCGCCAGGATGGGTATTTTATTTTCAGCTCCTTTGTCTTTTAATTAGATCCAGTTGTACTTTTTGAATTAGTGTAGTTATGCAAATACTTCTTTTACTGAAACAGTCCCTTCCTCAAATTTTCCCTAAACCCTCAATCTCCAACAGACACTCTACAAATAAGTTTTCAAATAGAGAAGTTCTTAGGAATCTAGTTTGTCCTCTCATTTTTTAATAAGACAGAACCAAAAATTGTAAGTTACAGTAGTTTTACATATATTCATTTTTACATATGTACATTTCTTCCCCCTCCTGAGTTAGAGTCACTAAACAAATTAATGAGCAGCCAAATGAAAAATTACTAGATCTGTCTTTAAGTTTTAGCTGCATCACTTGCTATTCATATGACCTTGAATAAGTCATTGAACCTCTCTAAACTTATTTTCTCTGTTAGTAAATGGGAATAGTATTAGGTCACGCATTGTGACATGGCTGCTATTAAGCTGTTATTCATATGGTTCAACCTAATATGAACTTCGTAATGGTGTGTGCGATGAGGATTAAACGAGACACTCCATGTGGGTCGTAGGTGGGAGGTAGAGGGGAGGAACAAATGTTAGTTTGACTGCGCGCCAGGCACTGTTCTTCTTGCTTCAAGTACCTTAACTCCTTTAGTCTTCACAGCATTCCTGGAATATAGGTGGTGTTAATAATGCATTTTACAAATGAGGAAACTGAGGCTCAGAAAGGTAAAATAACTTACCTGTGGTTACTTAGTTCTTGGTGGTTGTATAGCTGGTGAATGGCAATGCAGGGATTAAAAACTGGATGTGACTGCTCAAAATGAAACTTGATTCTTCCTTCCATCCTGGTTTACACTTACTGTAAAAGAGCTTTGTAACTATAAGGACGCACACAGGTGAAAGGTGTTTTATCACGTGTATTTGTGGTTAAAAAATAGCCTAGTTTTCTGATGACGGTGATACCACCACCACTACCGCTACCACTGTTGAGTAATACTTATCTAGTGCTGGGTCCTCGTCTAAGCAGTTTACATTATAATAACTCATTTGTTCTCACTGTGACTGAGGAGCTAGGTAATACTTCATCTCCATTTTATAGCTGAGAAAATTGAGACACTGAGAGGTTAAGTAACTTGCCCAAGGTCACACAGCTAATTAAGTAGCAAACTTAGCTTAGAAGTCATGCAGTTTGTCTTCAATGTCTGTGCTTATCCATTAACTCTACTACCTTTTCATATATAAGCTGTAATCCTAAAGAATTGCTTTTAATTTAGATGTTATGAGATAGTATAGTATGTAATTCTTGGCACAGTGGTTTAAGTGTTTGGCTGCTAACCAAAAGGTTGGCAGTTCGAATCCACCAGGTGCTCTTTGGAAACCCTGTGGGGCAGTTCTCCTCTGTCCTATACGGTCATTATGAATCAGAATCGACTCAGCGGCAACGAGTTTATGTAATTCTTAATGTGTCACCAGAAATTTTCTAATCAAATCAAATATTCATTGAGCAAGTCACAGTGAGGGTTAAAAAATACTCATAGGAGCCTGACGGTAGACTGTATAATCATCCCCGTATCTTCCTTTTATAAGTTCCTCAAAACTTAGAAGCCACTTTTCATTCATATATATTTATATATGTGTGTATTTACAATTTTAATAAGTGTCAAATAAGACAGGGCTGTAATTGTTGGAGAGGAGGGATTAAGGATGGGTTAGAGATATTTGTGTGTTGAGGTCATGAGGGAAGACTTTGAGAATATTCAGAGGAAGTACACTTTTTCACATATAATTCTGGTTCAGACGCAGTTCAACAAAGGGGAATAAATGGTTACTAAAGTTAATAAATGCACTTGATAGCCTAAAAGTAAAATATCTGTGTGTTTGAAAACTTATTTTTCTAGCTAGTGTCTCGTTCTCTGTATTGCCATCCTTAGCTTTGCCAGGCAGTACTTTTTCTTTTTTTATGCACATTTCCATAGCACTGAATACATGCCTCTGTTTTGATATTTATTTGTTTTGATATTTACATTGTGTTTAAAAATGTTTATTGACAAGGTCATCAATTCCTCTAGTCTGCAAATACTTTGAGGGCAGGGTTTAAGTCATCTTGCCACATTTCATAGCTTTAGCATCAAGCCAGGTACCCATAGGTACTGTGCTGTGTTTGGTGATGGCTGGTCAGTGGAAGAATATTAGGAAGGTATTAAAATTGATGTAGCAGTAGAAATTGAAATGAGTGTTCAGAGAGAATTGAGGGGACTCAACTGAGGTGCAATGGTTAAGTGCTTGGCTGCTAACTGAAAGGTTGAAGGTTTGAAGCCACCAGCGACTCTGTGGGAGAAAACACCTGGCCATCTACTCCTGTAAAGGTAACAGCCTTGGAAACCCCATGGGACAGTTCTAGTCTGTCCTGTAGGGTAGATATGAGTCCGTTTAGGGCACACAGCCACAACAACAGTGGGAAAGAAGAGAGGGGTACTTGAAACAGGTGGCATTAACTTGCTATGTCTGTTTTTTTTCTTCTGCTTTCTTTTTCAGCTTACAACTAAATGAGGTAGTTTCATAAGTTTAAATTGTATATAGTCATGGTTAGGGGAAAAAAGTGATCTTGATTTGTCTTAGAGTGTCAGCAACACAAAATTAAATAGCTATAGCCATAAGCTAAAATTACTTAGGGAAATAAAGAATGAAAATTACTGAAGTAGTTCAAGTTCATGAGAGATTTGTTGCTTGTAGTTAACGGCAGGGTTATAAATATAAGCATAGTGGAAGTTGATGGAATTCTACATGTAAATATATGAATTGATAGTCTAGTATAAAGAAACTCTATCAAGAAGATGAGAGTGCTTTTGTTGTTGTTAGGTGCCATCAAGTTGGTTCCCACTCATAGCGACCCTGTATATGACAGAACGAAACACTACCCTGTCCTGCGCCATTCTCACAATCGTTGTTATGCTTGAGTCCGTTGTTGCAGCCCCTGTGTCTAGTGCATCTTGTTGAGGGTCATCCTCTTTTTTGCTGACCCTCTGCTTTACCGAGCATGACGTCCTTCTCCAGGGACTGGTCCCTTCTGATAACAGGTTCAAAGTATGTGAGACCAAGTCTCACCATCCTCGCTTCTATGGAGCATCCTGGCTGTACTTTCCAAGACAGATTAGTTCGTTCTTTTGGCAGTCCATGGTATATTCAGTATTCTTTGCCATTACTATATTCAGAGGCATCAATTCTGTGGTCTTCCTTATTCCTTACCCAGCTTTTGCATGCATATGAGGCGATTAAAACCACCAAGGCTTAGTCAGGTGCACTTTAGCTTAGAGCCAATTAAACAAGTGAATTTTAATTCGATGTTTTCAGATAAGAGTAGTAATATTGAGTATTTGTTTTGGGGCACCTGGTTGACAGATAAGGATAAATTATAAAAAAACAACCAAAATAAGTTTGACAAACAATAAATAATTCTGGATTAATTAATTCCCTGCTAGGAAGAATGTTCGAACTGTTTACATAAGAAGACTCTGTTTTCCCTTTTCATCTCATTTGTCTCAATAAGAATTCCTTCTGATTTGTGAGACAGATCCCTTAGTGTCCTCTTGCTTATTTGCCCCATCACTATTCCATCTTTCTAGGATCTTTATAAGTATCTGATATTTGTATCGTGCTTTAAAATCTACAAACCATTTTTACGTTAATTAAAGCCTTTGATTTGTTTTTCAGATGTAGGCAGGGGAAATAATATCGCCACCACTATACACGTAGAAACTGAGGCTAAGAGAGATTAAGTGACTTGCTCAGGGTCACACCTACTCAGTGCAGAAACTGGCCTGGAAGGAAGGTTTTCTGAAGCTAGTCTTATAAAATGTTCAGATTTTCCCAAACCTTAAAAATTCAGTTTCTCCAGTCTCAGTACTCTCTCAAGGATGAAACTCAGTACTCTTCATCTGAAGATGAAACAGTATTCTTCTGTTTGGATTATTAACCTGTTACAGTTGGTATGGGTGGGACCTGCCTTAGAGATTCTCTGTCTTGACCTAACCTTTATTCGCTTCACCCTTTACTCATAAATTTTACCTTTTACATGTATCTTAGATGTACTGGAGAGACCCTTGACGTGGTGGAGAGACAACAGGTGTTGGAGTCAGACCAAAGTTTGAATCCTAGCTGTTACTTTTTAGCCGTTTGACCTTGACTAAATTAATCTCTTTGAACCTTGGTTTCTATATCTGTAAACAGGAATAAGAACCATTTCAAAGGAATGCTGTGAGAATTAACTAGAGTAATTTTGTGTGTGTGTGTGTATAAATATAAATGAAACTTATTGTTCTGAGTCTTTTTCATGTCTACATGCCTCCCTGCCATCCAGTCCCAATGCATGACCTTGACATTCAGTCAGACCTCCATAATTTCTTGCCTAGCCTGTAACGGTAACTGTTTAACCAAGTGCCTCTAGTCTCTTCTCTCTAGTCCTCATTGCCTTGGGACTTATTTTTCTAAAATGTGGATCTGATCTTATCATTCTTGTCTTTCAGGATAAACTCCAGGGAACGTTCTCCATGTTAAATGAGGCTTTTAACGATCTGTCACACATCTGCCTCTCCAGCCTGATTTTTTCCTTTGTTAGTTTCATTAGTGCCAAACTCTATTCCCTGATCGTCTTATCCTGTTTCCCTACCTTGCCCATCTATTGGACTCCTGTTCCATCTTCTAAAATCTAACTTACATCTTACTTTTTGAAACATTCTCTTCTCCCTCCGTTCTCTACTGTCTTTCCCCAGCCCCTAGGGTAGTCATTTAGTGACGTACAGTAGACTGTGTGCCATCTCTTTAATCTGTTTTCATACCTGTATTAGAATTTAGTACCAAGATTTGCCCTTGGAGGTTGAAGCTGGCATTCACCTTCCATTCCAACTAGAACAAATATTACTTATTATATTATTATATGTATAATGTAAATGTACTTGTTAATAAGTGTAAGTTGTTAATGACAGTTTTAAGGCAGAGAATTAATTGATGGGATTGGTAACACTTGAATTCATTACACACTATTGAAGTAGTGATGGCAGGAGCTGTTTTCTTCCATAATCCATGCTAAATTAAGAAGACATTTGGGAATTTATGAAAGCATCGGGACCTTCCTCCTGCCCCCTCCCCGAATAATCTGTGAATAAATTAAAGAAGAAAGTGATACATTATGTAATCCTTAAACCTTTTTTTTGACCAGCTTGACATATTTTTATTATTGTGATAATAAAACAAATTTCATATATACAGTATAATATGTGGATGCTTGCTTTGTTGAGGAAAAACATTCAGAACAATAAGCTTTTAATTTTTAATAATTTTTTAAACAAAACAAAACAACTTGTGTTTTGTTCTCCTCTGTGTTGATGTTAGTGTTGATACAGTGTGACAAAAAATTTTTGGCAAGTATTAGAGATACCGTACAGGTCATTATAATAATAACTAATTTTAATTGATAGGTACCAGATATGCTAAGCCCTTCATGTTTATTATCTGACTTAATTCTCATGACAAACTTAGGAGGTGGGTACAGTTATTATCCCCATTTTTCCAGACGAGAAATCTAGAAAGAAAAAATAACATGATTATCACTCATGATTATCAAAGCACTATTGTAGGAAGAAATAAATTGGAAAGATAGGTTGGGTTCAGATCATAGAGGGCCTTGATTATCAGGCTAATAAATTTGGGAAATCAGTGAAAGATTTTCTTTTTAGCTTTAGATTCTTTTTTTTTTTTTTTAATGTTTTTATTATACTTTAGATAAAGGTTTACAGAGCAAACTAGTTTCTCATTAAACAATACACATTGTTTTATGACATTGGTTGCCAACCTCATGACATGTCAGCACTCCCTTTCTCGACCTTAGGTTCCCCATTACCAGCTTTCCTGTCCCCTCCTGCCTTCTCATCTTTGCCCCTGGGCTAGTGTGCCCATTTAGTCTCATTTTGTTTTATGGGCCTGTCTAATCTTTGGCTGAAGGATGAACCTCAGGAGTGACTTTATTACTGAGCTATAAGGGTGTCTGGGGGGCCATACTCTCAGGGTTTCTCCAGTCTCTGTCTGACCAGTAAGTCTTTTTTTTTTTTGAGTTAGAATTTTGTTCTACATTTTTCTCCAGCTTTGTGCAGGACCCTCTATTGTGATCCCTGTCAGAGCAGTTGGTGGTGGTAGCTGGGTACCATCTTATTGTGTTAGACTCAGTCTGGTGGAGGCTGTAGTAGTTGTGATGCATTAGTCCTTTCGACTTATCTTTCCTTCGTGTCTTTGGTTTTCTTCATTTCTCCTTGCTCCAGATGGGGTGAGACCAGTGGAGTATCTTAGATGGCAACTCACAAGCTTTTAAGACCCCAGATGCTACTCCCCAAAGTAGGATGTAGAATTAGCTTTAGATTCTTCAAGTGAAAATTTGAGAGATATGCTTTGTAGTTTTTATTTAAACTTTGTGATGTAATTGAGTACTTATATTAAATATTTTCTGCTTATAGAGAAATTGAAGAATATGTTGTATCAGTAGCTGACTATGATAGCAAATGTTTATTGAGACCATACTATATGCCAGGTAATAGTACTCTACTAAGTACTTTATATGGATTGTCTCCTTCAATTCTCATGGTGTCCGGGTGAAGGGATATATGATAGCAAAGTTAAAAATATCAAGCAGATTTTTATTTATTCCTAATACTAACTTATTAATTGCATTTACTTTAACATTAGCTGTCACTTTCAAGTTAATTCCAAATCGGATTGTTTGTCTTTTGTAGTCATTATACTTTGAGTTCACTTAGTAAATGTTAAATGATTGTAGTTTTTTTCCCTATATCTTTTTTATAAGTTTATCGTTTATAATGAACTGTTAAACACATTTTATAATTTATAAATCTTAATTTAATTAACCTGGCAAAAAATATCACTGTCTAATAATTGGAAACCCTGGTGACATAGTGGTTAAGTGCTATGGCTGCTAACCAAAAGGTCAGCAGGTCAAATCCACCAGGCACTCCTTGGAAACTCTATGGGGCAGTTCTGCTCTGTCCTGTATGGTCACTATGAGTCAGAATCGACTCAATGGCAATGGGTTTTTTGGTTAACGATAATTACCTGTTTTTTGTTTAAACATAGGTTATCTTATGATGAAGCTTTTGCTATGGCTAATGACCCCCTGGAAGGCTTCCATGAAGTAAACCTTGCTTCACCTACTTCTCCAGACCTTCTTGGTGTGTATGAATCAGGAACTCAGGAGAAGACTACCTCACCAAGTGTCATCTACCGGCCACATCCTTCAGCTTTATGCTCTGCCCCTGTCCAGGCTAATGCATTAGATGTTTCTGACCTTCCTACACAACCTGTGTATTCATCCCCTAGGCGTTTAAATTGTGCAGAAATATCTAGTATCAGGTAGGAGATCATCAAAACACTTATTTTATAATATTATATTTTAAAAAATGGACAGTTTGTTTGACTACCGCATTTTAAGTTTTATTTTAGAAAATTTGAATAAGCTTCCCACGTAGAGCAATATGTATTAATGTTCTAGAGCAGGGGTTGGCAAACTTTTTCCGTAAAGGGCCAGATAGTATATATTTTATGCATTATGGGCCGTACAATTGTTGGAGCTACTCAACTCTTCCATTAGAGCATGACAGCAGGCATAGACAGTCTGTAAATGAATGAGCACGGTTGTTCTCCAATAAAACTTTATATACAGACAGTCATGGAATTTGGAATTTCATTTAGGTTTCACATGTCAAAAAATATTATTCTTTTGTTCTTTTTTCAAGCAGTTAAAAATGTGAAACCATTTTTGGATCATGTTGTTTTCTTGTTGTTAGTTGCTGTTGAGTCGATTCAGACTCATGGTGATTCCAGTTGTGCAGAGTAGAACTGTATTCCGTAGGGTTTTCAAGACTGTGACCCTTTAGAAGCAGATCACCAGGCCTTACTTCCGACATGCCTCTGGATGGGTTTGAACCACCAACCTTTCTGGTAGTAGTCTAGTGCTTAACGATTTGCACACACAGGCCCGTGTGTGTTACAGACCCAGTACTTGGTTCTATACCTCAAGTCACACCTGGGTTAACTAAATTAGCTATGATGTAATGCTGTAATGCTGAGAGGGCGTTGTGGCCTGTAGTTTGCTGACCCCTGTTCTAGAGTAGCACAAGCCATGGAGCTTTCTGTGCTGATGGAATGTTCTATTTCTGTACCATCTGATATGGTAGCCATTAGCCACATATAGCTACTAAGCACCTGAAATGTGGCTAGTGCGTCTGAGGACACACTATTAAGTAACTATAGTGACTACCGTATTGGATAGTTTAATTCGAGACCTGTGTGTTTATGCCAGTTATATTTGAGCATATACTGTATTTTCTAAAAAAAATGTTTCTCTCCTTTACAGCGTCCATGTTACAGACCCAGCACCCTGTTCTACCTCTGGAGCCACAGCTGGATTAACTAAATTAACTACGAGAAAGGACAACTGTAATGCAGAGAGGGAATTTTTACAAGGTGCTACTATAACGGAGGCTTGTGATGGCAGTGATGATATTTTTGGGTTGAGTACTGATAGTCTGTCCCGTTTACGAAGCCCATCTGTTTTGGAAGTCAGAGAAAAGGGGTATGAAAGATTAAAAGAAGAACTCGCAAAAGCTCAGAGGGTAAGAAAAAAAAGGTATTTTATTCTTTTATATATTATATTCTAAATTAATATTTATCCATGAGGTAGGGCCAACTCATAAATGAAATCATTACAGTCCTACATTTACCCTTCACATACGCCCAGTCTCAGCTCCTGTTAGGGGCATTTAGGAATCTGAATATGGCTGGGTAGTAAAGAAGCTGATCTAAGAGTACTTCTGAAACCCTTGTTGTGCCTCTTACATTGTCTTCTCCCTGTCTTGCATTATTGATAATGTGAATTTAGTGGGTTATATTCCACTGAGGATTTTTCCCTCCTTACATGTGGATATCAGAGTGTGTCCTCTAACCATAATGAAATCAAACTAGAAATTAGAAACAGAAAGATAACAGGAAAATCTCCAAACGTTTGGAAACTAAACATATTTCTAAATAATTGTGTGGGTCAAAAGGGAAATAAAAAATACATTGAGCTAAATGAAAATGAAGATACAACAGGTCAAAATTTTCGGGAAACAGCTAAAGCAGGACTTAAGAGGAACATTTATAGGACTAAATGCGTACGTTAGAAAAGTCTCAAATCAACAATTTAAATTCTCACTTCAAGAACCCGGAAAAAGAAGAGCAAATACCAGAGAAAGCAGAAGGAAGGAAATAATAAAGAGCAGAAATCAGTGACGTTGAAAGTAGAAAAGCGGTAGAAAATATGAATGAAACAAATAGCTAGTTCTTTAAAAATATCAATAAAGTTGACAGACTTTTAGCAAGATTGACAAAAAAGAGGAGACACAAATTACTGGTAATAGGAATGAAATGAGGTGTCACTGCAGACTCAAGATCAAAAGTGCAATAAGAGCATACTGTGGACAAGCGTGTACACGTATAAATTTGACAGCTTAGCTGAAATGGGCCAATTCCTCAAAAAATACAAACAACCACAAGTCAGTCACCCAATATGAAATAAATAATTTGAATAGCTCTATACGTATCAAGGGGATTGAGTTCGTAATTTAAAAACTATCCAAAAAGAAATCTCCAGGCCTAGATGGTTTCTAAGAGAAGTCTACCAAATGTTTAAAGAAGAGTTAAGACCATTATATATAATCTCTCCCAGAAAATAGAAGAGGAGGGAATATGACTGAATTCATTTTATGAAGCCCTGATGCCAAAACCAGACATTATAAAAAAAACTACAGACCAGTATTTCTCATGAATATAAACGCAAACATGCTTAATAATAGCAAATAGAATTTAGTAATATATGAAGAATTATGCATTATGACCAACTGAGGTTTATTCCAGGAATGCGCAGAGCTGGTTCAATATTTGAAAATTAGCCAGTGTAGTTTTAGAGAACCTAGAAATAGATCCACGAAGATATTCCAAGAGTGTTAACAAATACTACATGGTTGTAGTAACTATTTTGTTCTTCCCAGTGAGCCCAACTTAGGATTGAAAAGAAAGCTGATTTTTGGACAAAGGTGCAAAAGCAATTCAGTTGAGGAAAGAACATTTTCAGGCAATGATGCTGGATGTCTTTAAGCCAAAAATAACGCTCAATATCATTCTCATGCTTTATATAAAAGTTAACTCAAAGTGGATCATGGAGTTAAATATAAAACCAAAAATACAAAACTTTTAGGAAAAAGCATAGGAGAAAATCCTTGTCAAAAATCCTTGGCAAAAAGTTCTTAGATTTGACATCAAAAGCATGATCCATAAAATGAAAAATTGATAAACTGTTCTTCATCAAAATTAAAAACTTTTGTTCTGTGAAAGGCCCTGTTAAGAAGGTGAAAAAAAATACAGAGTGGGAGAAAATATTTGCAAGCTACATATCTGACAAAGGATCAGTATCTAGAATATATAAAGAACTCTCACTTTAATGGTAAAAAAGAAAAAAATCCAATTTGAAAATGAGTACAGTGCAGTAAATTGCTTTTTTATGGCCTTTCTAGCCATGGTCTTGTAACTCCCCCAAAATAATTGACTGGGCCACTGTCTTACAAAGGATTGGTCTATTACTATGCAAATTGAGTGTCTTGGCTGTCCACTAAGGGGATTGGTCAGTTCGTGGTCCTGGTGGGAGGTTCATGCCTTGAAATTGACAAGGAGTTTGCTTATATAAAGGCCAACCCCACAGAGGTTAGGGAGGACCTCACTACCATCAAGAAGAGTCTGTAGCGGAGTGTGTCCTTTGGACCAGGGACCCGGGGTTGCTGCGCTGAAAACTTCCTAGACCCAGAAGAAAGAGCTGTAACACTGAAGATGGTGCAGGATGGCCAGAAACAGCAGTGGTGGGCTTGCTGGCCCACAGAGTGAGGTGGCTGCGGTGGGCTTACTGGCCCATGGAGTGAGAGCTGAGTACATTCAGGCAGGAGGCTTACTGGCGGAGCTAAAAAAGTTGTAACATTTGCCCGTTCAGGGCAGAGGCCTGAGTATGCCCCATGCAAGGGTCTTCTACAGCAGGGCAGAGCTGGATGCCTATGCTTGCTGGTAGAGTTAAAATTGCTTATGCAGGACAAGAGAGGCCTGAGTATGCCCTGTGCAGGGATTGCATGCCTCACTGTTGGGCAGTGGGGGCCTAGGTAGCATGATGGTAAGAGAGCCCCACAGGCCCAGGTAGTATCACAGGAGCTGGGGGCAGAGGCTTGGGAGATTGTGCATAGGGGTCTTCCTGCCGGCGAGGCAAGGCCTGGTAAGGCCCAGCAGCAGAGCAGAAGCCTTGGGAGCCCTGTAGGCTCCCTGACCAGAGTGGTGGTAGCTGGAGGCAGCAGTATTGTGAACACAGCATCTGACCTGAACCACTGTGTGCCTGCCCAGCAACCTAAGAATGGACAAGGGTAATTTGGGGAAGGGTAAGCATTTCCCCTTTTGCAATCTGTTTTTTATTGTTTACTGTTTGCTTTCCATAAATGATAATAATGACTTCCACTTTGTCAACACTGTGTAAGTGTTTTGTGTCTGGCTTGATCACAGGTGAACATAGCACCCGTGGAATGATTGATGCCAGTGGGTGTATGTGCCTCATTCCTAGCAGTCTTAACAGCTGGCTGGAAGTTTGAGGCACAGCCTGTCTTCACGTGTAATGCAGACAGAGCGTACTACAATGAGCAAAAGACACAGAGACATTTTGTCAGAGAGGGTATTCGGATGGCAAATAAGCACATGTAAAGATGTTTAGCTTTATAAGCCGTTAGGGAAATGCAGATTAAAATCAGAGTGAGAGAATACTACACACTTATTAGCGTGTCTAAAATGAAAATAGTGACAGTACCAAATGCTGGTGAGCATGTATAGAAACTGAATCACTCATATAGTGCTGGTGGAAATGGCAGTTTTCTTAAAAATCTAAACATGCAACTCTACCATGTTGTTAGGTGCTGTTGAGTTGGTTTCAATTCATAGCGGCCTTACGTACAACAGGACGAAGCACTGCTGGGTCCTGCAGTGTCCTCAGAATCGTTGCTGTGTTTGGGCCTGTTTTTGCAGCCAGTATGTCAGTCCATCTCGTTGAGGGTCTTCCTCTTTTTCATTGACCCTCTGCTTTACAAAGCATGATGTCCTTTTTCAGGCACTGGTCCCTCCTGATAACGCATCCAAAGTACTTGAAAGAAAGTCTCACCACCCTTGCTTCTAAGGAGCATTCTGACTGTACTTCTTCCAAGACAGATTTGTTTGTTCTTCTGGCAGTCCGTGGTATATTCAGTATTCTTTACCAACACCATAATTCAAATTCATCAATTCTTTGGTCTTCCTTATTAATTGTCCAACTTTTGCATGCATAGGAGGCGATTGAAAATTCTGTGGCTTGGGTCAGGTGCACCTTAGTCCTCAAAGTGACATCTTTGCTTTTTAACACTTTAAAAGGTCTTTTGCAAAAGCAGATTTCCCCAGTGCAATTCGTCTTTTTGATTTCTTGACTGCTGCTTCCATGGGTGTTGATTGTTGATCCAAGTAAAATGTCCTTAACAACTTCAATATTTTCTCCATTTATCATGATGTTTCTTATTGGTCTAGTTGTGAGGATTTTTGTTTTCTTTATGTTGAGGTGTAATCCATACTAAAGTCTGTAGTCCTTGATCTTTATCAGTAAGTGCTTCAAGTCCTCTTCACTTTCATTAAGCAAAGTTGTGTCATCTGCATATCACAGGTTGTTAATGAGTCTTCGTCTAATCCTGTTGGAGCATTCTTCATATAGTCCAGCTTCTCTGATTATTTGCTCAGCATACAGAGTGAGTAAGTATGGTGAAAGAATACAACCCTGACACACACCTTTCTTGATTTTAAACCACATGGTGTCACCTTGTTCTGTCTGAACAACTGCCTCTTGGCCTATGTAGAGGCTCCTCATGAGCACAAATAAGTGTTCTGGAATTCCCATTTTTTTTGCAATGTTATCCATAATTCTCCCATAAAAACCAGAAAACCAAACCTGTTGCCTTTCAGTTGACTCCGACTCATAGTGACCCTATAGGACAGAGTAGGACATGCCCCATAGGGTTTCCAGGGAGTGGCTGGTAGATTCAAACTGCTGACCTTCTGGTTAGCAGCTGTAGTTCTTAATCCCTGTGTCATCAGGGCCCCATGGGAGCTAGCAGTTGTACTCCTGGGCATTTATCCCAGAGAAGTGAAGACTTACATTCACACAGAAACGTGTGCATAAATGTTGATAGCAGCTGTGTTTATAATAGCCCCAAATTGGAAACAGCCCAGCTTTTCTTCAAAGGTGAAAGGTTAAACAAACATTGGTGCTTCCATACCATGGTATACTAGTCAGCAGTACAAAGGAACCAACTATTGATACCATGCAACAATCTGGAGCCTTTTAAATCTTTTCCCAAAGGGAAGGAGTATAGTAAGATGTGATTAAATGAAGCATAAGAACTATGCTGAGTGAAAAAAAAAAAAAAAATCTAACCCCCAAAATCTATATAGTACATGATTCCATTTATATAACATATCAAAATGACAAAATTACAGGCATGGAGAACAGTTTAGTAGGTGTAAGAAGGGGGGA